GTTCTACATGTGCCCACGTATGTGTTTCAACACGGACTATGCAAGGCTGATGTACGTGGAAATTATTTGTGTCCTTAGAGTGACCGTGAGCCTCTACAGACAACTTTCAGGGCAAACGACATTGTGAGTTTTGTTTTCAACCTGCAACTCCGCAGTGTGCAGAGCAGCGGGACAGTATCAAGGCGTTTGGTACGGCGTGTCTGGAGATAAGTTCTTACACCGCTCACCTGGCAGACTAAGAATACATTTGGGGCGTTTCAAGTCTTGTATGGTATCACTGAAAACTTACTCTTGTAGTAAAGTCTTCTAAACCCCAAAGCTACATTTTGTGGTGCCAGCTGAGGACCTGACAATTTCTCTCACGTTGAGTCATTACCGGTACACGTGATAAACCAGAAATATTTGCATTTGCAATGCTATTCAAAACAAGAATGTTGAACTAGCTTTACTATACAAGCTAGTATCAGCGTACCCACAGTAAAAAACCCTCTTGAAAATGCAATGATGCACTCTGGCAACTCTATAAAAACTAATCACTTAATTAAAAAAAGCAACAAACCCCTCCAAACCAGCAGCTTTTTCCTAAAAACTGCAGCCCATGCTCAGAGCATCTAATTTTGGCTCTTGCCACAGGCTCCATCTTCCTCAGTGACAAAGAACAGCACGGCATTCATTAGCAGAGGAGAAACACTCACCTAAACGGACTGCTGAAAGCCCACAATTATTAATGTTCCATCCTTACAAATCCTGTTTAAAGCCTGCCCTAAAGATCATCAAAGTCAAGGCTTATAGTCATTCCCTGGCATTTTGGAGCGGGTCTTGAGTGAGGAAGCATCACCCACTGGCCGTCACAAATTAATCTAAAGCCTTGTGGCTGGCTCTGAGTCTTTGGTAGCGCCTGGACGGCAGGAGACACCGGGCAAAGAGGCTGAGCTGGAATTTAACTTGTGTGAATGTGGGCACTGATAAGCAAGATAACTTTCAACAGTTTGAAATAGATTATATGCAGTCTGTAGTACTGCCCTTATGGTAAGGTGGCTACAGAAGTGATTTGTATTGTTAAATAAACCGACTGTAGAAAAGCTGTAGGTTTTCTATGTTGCATTTTTTTCCTTACACTGGCCCCAATACAAGTTCCCTTGAGTTCAGCAGTAGTTGGACTGGATGAAAAGTGGAAGCAAACGGATATTGTTATTTTCAAGGAAACACCAGGATCGTGTGCTTTGCTGGCTTTTTTGCATCTAACTTTGCCTGATGTGGTGCAAAGAGCTAGAATACAATGAAGTAAAACATTGCAAAGCCTTCCAAATTGGGCTTTTGACTATTTATAGCCATATATCCATATTTATGTATGTATATGAACGGTGGAAAGACTGAAAAAGCAGTTTTTTCAATGGTTCAGTCTTCATAAACTGAATCATACATTGTTTCAGCTATATTTTTAAAGAGGCACACAAGAGTTTCTCCGTCGTGTTTTCACTTAAACATAAGAAGCTGCATGAAAGCAGACTCACTTGCCACCCTGACAGCTCAGAGAAACTTCATTCACGTATAGAGGACTCTCACTACAAGCCCGAACTTGCTCCCATTGACGCGGAGGGTGAGACTCCTACCAGCTTCGGTGGTAAATCACCGAGGCTTGCAGCATGAACTGCACGCACCTCTGCGAAGCCAGCCTCTTTCTGACTTCTTTAGGAGCTAGTATGGGTTTTTTTTTCGGTCCGCAGACCTTTATGACTTGCTAGTGGAGAGATTTTTGAAGTGAAGTGTAAAAAGGAGCTTTGAGCATGAGGTGTCACAAAATTAAAAATCTACAACTTCTCTAAGAAAAAGATGGTAGCAGAAAAAGAATATACATCTATACAGTGTGCACACATGTATACACATATACTCCTGTTTCATGCAGAAAGCTTTCTAAATAAAAACATACAAAAAGTAACCAGTGCCATACATTATGTAAACTCACAAGGCGTACTTTCAACATAAATTTGAAGCATAAATTAAAAGAGAGCGAGAAAGAGAGAGACAGAGACGATAGCAAAACATTTTAAATATAGAATTTGCACAATTGGTATTTTTGTTAAATAAGAATAAATAAATTCATTACATCCGTTCACATACCAGTTGTAAAAACAATAAATTATTTTTTTTTTTTCAGTGCTGTGTTGCTTTTTTTTTTTTTTTTTAACAATTGTGATCAATCCACGAGATTATTCCCTCTCCCCCTTGTGATAAAACTGTTTCCGCAGGAGGGCAGCTAAACTTAATTTCTGTATACAGTCAAACCAAAGATGATAGGCTTTTTCCTAATGAAAATGTCTTATTTGAAAAGCAGATGCTCTAAAAACCACCGATGCTGAGGGGTCCAACTCCACGTAAGGACATTGGAGATGTGTCCCAAAAAGGCAGCAGTGAGTTTAACACTGAGGATTGTTTCTTTCTATGCAAAGAGCAATACTCCGGGTTTCTATCCCCTAGATGCCTTTCATAAATCCCATTTGGCAACTCTTGGTAGTAATGTAAACAATGACATAACAGTGCGAGCGACAAGGAATTTAGTTGAGAACAGAAGTTGAAATGACAGTGTCACATACCTTGCACCAATTTTTCATTCATCAGTTACATGAGACAGCTCTGACTGACAAAAGCAAGGTCTGGAATTGGAGTCCGATGACAAAGAACAGCTGAAAAGCAAGTGTTAACTAGGGCAGGCTGACCTAGTTTATCTTACACTTTCAGGGTTGCTTCCTTGGTCTGTCCCCTTTGCCCTCTCACCATATAAAGGCGACTGCTTTTTGCTCATACCAATTTGCTTCATTACTACACTGGTGAAAAGGGAAAAATCACTACAGTGGTTTGTTCTCATACTTATTTATGTTTTTATAAATAAACTCTTTCTATGAAAAAAGATATTCTTGATCTAAGGAAGCTTTAAAGTTATACTCGCGTATGGTATTACTCTTCTGGAGCCTGCATAGCATCCAAAAGCTCTACTCATCCTGTTGAATATGTAATAAATTATTACTATGATGCAAACACAAATACTTGCACGTTCTGTCTCTATTATGATAAAACACAGGAAAAACAAATGCCACTTAATACAGCAGCTGTATGCAGAGACAAATGTTAAGTCTATGCTGACACGCATTAAGTCTCCTTATTTTTCCTCTCGTGATGGTTTCTATTTGTTACGAACTTTTTTGAGAGGTTCTAGAACATGTGTAATACATATATAAGTATAAAAATAAGATTACTTGAACGGAAAATAAGACACTTCTAAGTGATCTTATGTTAATAGGCAGAGAAGCCATAAATCTTAACTTTCCAGAACTCTGCAAATATTCAGAGCCTTGATCTCAGTTCTTCGGGTGGGATCACAGATTAAGTGGAGAATTTTCCTCAAGAACCACAATTTTGCATAGGACTACTCCTAATAAGAAGGCCATGCCATTCTTGAAAGCTGAAGGTGACTAGTAACGTTCGTTGGTAATTCATTTTGACAGAGGAGGAGGCCCTGCCCCTATTACTGTTTATTTAGAACAGGGTACAAAAATAGATACTTCTCCAGGTTTCATACTTGTAGATGTAGCAATTCTATGCTGTTTTGAAATCATCACATGCTTTCTTAGAGTTCATACAAACATGCCACAGTTGCAAAAACATGTTTGTGTCAGTCTGGAGTGAGACCTGCCCTTGCTACACTCGCCAACAAGTTTTCTCTACTGATTTCATGATTGGGATTTTCAGAAGAGCCTGGGGTGTTTCAGCGCTCGAATACCACTGACTTACGGCTGTGAGGCTTGTCTGAAAATCCTCCTGCAGTCTCATACTCTCCTGCGTGGATGAACGAAGGAATAAAAGACAGATGGGATTCTATTTTCATCAGCGTATTATAACCATTTCTTTCGGTACCTGTTATCCTAGGGCTCAGTTCAAAGCCTGCTGATATAAAAGGAAGCAATTTTAACAGGGCTGCCTGCTATCGGGCCTCCACCTGTTACCTGCATAAAGTGAAATGCCCATCCTCGGTCACAGAAATTGCACCAGACAATAATGGGATTCAGAAGTTGCTGCCAATGAAAACTCCTACCAGCTACTGCCTGTACTGTGGAAACAGTCTTATTGGTACTGGGCAAGTCCTCCACATCCTGATGTGGTTTGACTTCCTAGTGACCCCTCTTCCTCCCAAATGTGGTAGATATACAAAACACGAATGCCTTCTATAGCTTTAAAAAAACTCAAAACCACACACAAAACAATCAAAAAAGACAAATAGTTACAAACTTTTGCTGGTAAGATGAATACCAGAGTTAGACATCATGGACAAAACAGTGATAAAATATTAACTGCTTGCTGTGTTTTTTTGACCTTTATAGCCTCTTCAGAAGATGTAGGTACATTACACATTGTTAGATTCAAGGTGGAAGCCATAGAGAAAATAACAGAGAAAGCAGTTGAACACAGCCTCAGAATATCTGAGTTAGAAGACACTTGATTATCTTACCTGTAATTTTTGGTTCTCTAACTAGTTTCTACAAAATACAGTATGCCTTTGTTTTACGGAAAGAAGAAGCTAGCAGCTATTGTTCATCGACAACAAGGACCCCAAGCTGTGACACAGCTGGAACTAGTGGAAGGTTTACAAGCAAAGTGTACACAAATTCCTCCTAGCAGCCAAATCCTCCTCCTGTGTGTGTCTGACATACACATGGTGAGGAGTCGCTGATGGTGCTGGTATTTGAGCAATGCACATGTGGGGATCCCTGGTCTGCAAGCTGCTGCAATGCTCCTTCTTGGCGGAAACACAGTATTTGTCATAGAATAATCATCTGCCGTCAGGAAATTCCTAGCATGAAAACGTGTTTCCTTTTGTCAAAACCAAAAGGTATTACTTCTTAAAACCAGCAGCAAGCTCTTCATTTTCCAGTAAAACATCTGCGGCCCTTTCTGAAGAATGGACCAAGTCCACAAGGGCTGCAGATATACTTTGGTCAATCACTTTGCTTATGGAGTTTGTCTTTTGATTTTTTAATAGAACCAAGTGATATAAAGTGACATACCAAGTGAAAGATATTTACAAAACAGTATAAAATAAGCTACTGTGGTATCACAGGTACATGTGACGTTTTCTAAGGACATACTGTATTAGAGGTAGGTGAAAAAGGGGAGATGATTCTGTAACCTTCAGATATCCCAGGATCCTCCATTCACTAGTTTTTCTTCTTTTGCATTATTTTATTTTATATTTTTGCAGACACAGAGGGCTTATAACAACTTTAATGCTTAGTTTTTTGACATATTAAGATCACCCTACTATTATTTAAAGCAGTGCACATCTTCATTTGGTCCAAATAGGCAGATTCTGCCCATAATTTGAGACTGTATGTAAGTATACTGAAGCCTTTGCTTCTCTCTGTCTGGGCAGACCTAATACCAGTATGTCAACAATGGCTTAATCAAACCTCTTTTAAAGAAGATCACAACCACAGGTTAACACTTTTTCAACAAGCACTGTTTAAATGCTGACGGTCTCTGAGAGAGAAGACATCCCTTAGCTAATTTTCCATGCCCGTCTTTGCACTGGACAGTCCTGGTGTGCCATCCTGTGTCGCATGTTCGAGAACAAGAAAGCCACGGCCCCGTAACCCAGCGGGGTTGCATGAGCTGGGGAGTTACTTTGCTGCTGCCGCTGCCGCTGCTGGTGACAGAGTTAGTCATTTGCCCTTGCTTCTTTGGCACGAAGAAACTATAGCGGACATCCACTGATTGAGTTGGATCTGTCGCAAGTATCTGCACAATAAGAACCTCTTTTGTGGCAGAGTGTCCCATTGCGTGCAAGAAATCATCTTTGTGACTCCAGCCGCTGTAGTTCATGACAGTCCCGTTGATGTCAATGATTGTTTCTGAAGTGGAGATCATATATTTTCCATTGACAAGGTACTCACCGTTTTTCTTTTTCAGGGCCAGGTAGGCAGTGAACCTGCTCTGGTCCTTAGTCTTGAACTGCCGAACTTTGATGTGGGTTGCCCCTTCCGGGATTTTCACTACATCTGTGTAGCCCTTGCTGAGTGAAGTTAAAAAAAAAAAGCATTCAGTAGCTAGCGTGAAATAAGGCTCAAGTCTTACTGCAACACCTAATGAAGTCACTGGCATGACACATCTTGCTTTGTTATAGTTCAGGCCCTGAATCCATTTGGCTTGAGGCTCATCTAAGATTAATTTAAGCAGGTTCCACTGTTTGTCTATTGTATCATTCTTCATGTTCTTGAAGAAATTTCTACTGCACTTATTTCAATTGCTGAATCTTTAGCTTTAGTAATGATTTTACGTGAGTCAGATACAAGAGGAACAAAAAATAACAGATAGCTTATATATTTCAGCAAAGGGTGGGAGATATGAAATACGATGCACGCTTTGCCTGCCAAGGAAAAGATAATGAGATATGCATTGGTTACAGCTGTTTCTCGCTGTCTTTGCTATAATGATGATTAAGGAAAGCATGAGCAGAGTAACAGCTGGGTAGAGGTACCTTGGGAACATTTAAAAATAATCTTGATCACTGAGAAAAAATTTGTTTACTTTGAAATTCATAAAGCGGAAGATTAATTGTCAAGTGTCTAATATGAGGTGCGCCCAGATATTTAATTTGTACCATCACAGAGTTTTTTCTCTTACTACTTATGAAGTATCTTAATTCAGATTTAGAAAAAGATATTTAACTCTTCTACTGAAAGTGACAAGCGTTCAAAGTGTGCTGGAACTCATCACTATCTCAAGTATGTTATTTATTTTAACTTTACTGATACATAGAAAAAATCTAAAGACTATACATAGCTATAAGCCACCAGCTGGACTCTGGAGACATGTATTTTCATTTCTAAACCTGTGATAAAACCATTCCGCAAATACCTCATATCTGAAAAGTTTAGTGCTGAAACTTCTAGAAAAAAAGGAATGAGAAAATACACTAAAAATATATAAAAGTGAAGGGGGGCATCCTTTGGGATTGTTTAAGGAACAGACTGCTAATTTCTAGAATTTTTGGCTGCACGAGTAGAGACTGCACAGACTACAGATTAAATGCTTGTGCTATTCCCCTGCTATTTCCAGGAGTTATGGGACGACGACTAAAACTCTATTGATTTAGCACTTCCATAAAGCTGAAGGAATATGGTGCGAAAAACAGGCTGGGGGGGACTCTGCTCTACAGCACTGCACAAATATTTTTACCTGTTAAAACATGTTATTAAAGTTACAAAGTCATTTGTTCAAAAACTAAAAGCAATGCTGGAGAATTCAAGTCATCTGCACAAAGAATTGTAACACCCCATGGCACAAAGAAACACATGCAGCCTTAATTCTCCTCTTTTCTAACTTCTGACAATTTGGCTTTACAGCCTTTTAAAAATCATTCTTAGGAAGCAAGTTTTCCAGAAGATTATGTTTTGACTGCTTTAAAAGAAAAAAGTACAAACAAATGTTGTTATGGCAATCGTCCGCAATGGGAAATACTAGTTTTCCCCTGTACATTTAATAGTTTCCCTGTACATTTAATGTACAGATTGCTATGGTTTGGTTTATAATGCACAGCAATGCAGGAGCTGCTATTTTTCAGTGGAGAAAAGGTAATTTTACTACAGCCACTGCCCTTTCATATGTAAAAACAGTTTACAGACAATTAAGATTTCACTATTTTAATGAGTGGCTTATTTTAAAGTCAATTACTTGCATAAGGGAATTGTCTCAAACAGTATTTCCAGTAAAAAAATAAATCCTCGTCACTCCGAAATTCAATCAAAATCAAGTTAGGACATACTTGTTACTTACAGGTTGACTATTACTTTCTAAATGGGGCAACTTTTTGAATGCATTGAGGTTGAATTAATATTTTACTCTCTGACCAGTCTCATTTAAGCTAAAGGCATGATTTGAGGAGTAAGATGGTAACTTTATAGGAATAATTATAATAGAATCTCTCCGTTTCCAAGCATATCTATGCTACAAATCTGGCCTCACTGAAATTCATGGAGCCCCTTTAACATTTTTGCTGGAGTCTGGATTCCAGCACAAGGATCATTACTGAATCACATGAAGTGTATGTCACACTGTCTTCTTCATTTAGACATCCCAGATATTTCAATATTTAAAAATTGGAAAAGATTTGGTTTATATAAGTACTAATTTGGATGGAAAGTCATTCTTTTTGGCAGAGGTGTTCTGGCATCCTTAGGTGAGAAATCATTGGTTTACCAGGAGGAAGATTCGTTATGTTTATTTTCAGAATAAATTCATTCTCAAAGTCATTTTTGACTGCTATTAATCAGTATGTCGAAATGTATAGAAATAAAAGGTCATTTCAGGAGTCAGATTTCAACTCCTGGTAGCTTCCAAAATGCTATGTAAGAATTTGGAAGATATAAAACAAAATCAAGTTTGTGTACATTTTGAAAGATGGTACACTAATGCAGTCACAGAAACCGAGTAGAAATTGTCAACTGAAAGTTTCTAAGAGTAGATCACTACAGCAGTCCTTTGAGACCTTGGAATCTATATAAATGATAATTAAAAATCCCCATTTTTCTATGAACCTTAAGACTTGAAGAGGGAGGGAAACGAGTTCAGACAGAAAGCAGACTGACTTGACATTGGTATCTCAGTACAAAGCTTAGTGCTGCCCTCAATGTGGTCAGGGAAAACCATGGCGGCGGTTCCTTTTATTTTACTTGTATTAAGTTTTGTTATAGTTAAAAGCTGAACTCTGACAGAAAAATGTCTTATGGATAACTGCTATAAATATTTTGACTTAAAAAAAAGCCCATCTGGAGATCGATATTATGCCAAGGGACATGAAGGGATATAGCAAATGCCATGCTTAAGCCTATGTTTACTTCTGACATCTCATCTAGTCATCTAAGCTCCGCATATACTCAGCAGTGTGAAAAGGTATTTTCAGTGTATAATCCCTCTCAGCTATTAAGGAAGACTTTCACAGCTGTGCTCTAATGCTGTCTGCTTCTCTCCACTAACTACACAAGGAATCCGTGTCACTAAATCAGGTGGGATGTCCTCGTCATTCAAAGTCAGATGAGATGAAACACGTTCTCAGTGTGTAACTTGCTAACACAGCATCATCTGGGAAATGCAGAGTTTCGGAGATACCCAGATTATTCTGACCCCAACAACCTTCTGATTCACTCCTCTCTTCCCTTTCCTTTCTCCTCTAGAAACCACAATCCATCTGACACAGTAAGATTAGCAAGTAGCACAAGATGCTATGCCTTATTCTAGGCAGACTTCCTATTAATGGGGTGCTCACCTGTATGACTGTCACTTTGTGTCAGAAATGAACTGGGTAGAGTGTTTTGCCAGTTGATTAACTGCCAGTTTTGGGGTAATGCTAAGAGGCCAGATGTAAACATCTGGAAAGTGCAATAAAGCACAGGCAATGTCCTTTTTTGCTTAATCGTCTTGTGAAAGTAAATTGCATTTAGAGACAGAAAGAAAGCAAGCACATAGCAGAGTTACTATTTGCACAACAAGATACATTTACTAACACTAAAGATCAATACCTCTTTTTGGTAAAGGTTCCCATGACTTTTGTGCAGCTGGAATTGTCTCCTCCACACACCCCGCACTTGTCATACTGGAGCTTTGAGCCGATGATGCCGTCGCAACCAGTGCGGACGCATTTTCCCCGGACGCAGACTGAATTACTGTACGGTCGACATTCAGTCCCATCAGTTACCTAGGCAATCAAATGACCGTTAGTTAAAACTACCACGGAAAAGATTTGCTTTTGTGAATCTGACTGGCAAAACCCAGTGGCTTATTTATGTCACCTACTCAGAACAGAGTGCTCACCCTGACAGACCAGACTGAGTTTCTCTAACATTCCCAGCACAAAAGCAGACGACAGTTAGCAAAGGGCTGAAAAGCAATGACAGGTAACTCCACCGTAAGACACTAAAATGACCCTGGCTTTAACGATGATCTCACAGCTTATTAATAATAACAATAACAGTACTTGTAGATAGCCTTGCATTTGAGCTATCTACATCTAAATGTTACCTTCATAACATTTAGAGGCAGAAAACTGCAAGTGTAAGCATGGGAGACAAGTCAGTTCGAATTGCATCTGATGTAACAAACTGACCGCAAGTCACATCTATACTAATTGGCTAATTATTCTATATTAATTGGCTCCATAAGAGTTACTCTGGACTCCCTTAACATAATTCAGGGTAAAACTTATTCTTTTACTCATACTACTGTTTCTCCTCCAGAAAACCCCAGAATGACAGATGACTCTCCAGGCAAAAACCCCTTTATCCACTCCTGAAAACAAACTAGTGCAGAGCGCACTAAGAGGCCCTTATTTTTCATGAATCCCCATATTGAGATGTGGAAAAACTTACTTCATGTTAGAAGCTAATTCTGGTCCTAATGTATAACCAGTGGATCAAGCCATTAAATCTAATCACACAGTTAAATCTTTGAATCATATGATTAACTTCTTTTCCCTTGTTGTAGGAAGATTTCTAAGATACAGGACACTTCCAAACTGGAGCATGAAATCATGATTGGAGATGCCATTACCTTCTGAGAAAACACCACATAATAGCCAGTTCCTTTGGCTCGGCAGGTGAGCTTGCAAACGTCTCCGGGAAGCACTCCAGCATACTTGGGGACCCATTCAACAAATGTCTTGACACCCTTTGCATCAGACTGATAGCCATTCCTTGCTTCACACTGCTCTTGTCGAAAAGATTTAGCTGTAGAATTATTCACATCATTAGTGACTATTTCAGACCATGCTGCAAATATCATTATGCCCATCTATTATTCCAATTTCTTTTTTACATAATTTTTAAGTTATGTCACTTCACCTCTTTACTTAGAACTGGCCTTCAAATCCTTCAACTGTTTTAGCTTGGAAATCTTCCCATGACATAATAAGCATTAAAGGACTAAAGTTTGCATTACGGTTCATTTTCCAGGACTGAAATTTCTTTTCATTCAAGTGTCCTTTCTGTACGGCGTCAGAGTGGGGATGGGGGAAGAATTATGGTATTGTATTAATGATGAATGTCTTGCCTTGGTAAATACATTTTGGAGAAACTACAATGGACACCTTTGTTGTTTCCTTTCACAGTAGATGTTCAATATTTACTATCTATGAACATAAAGGCTGGAGCACGAAGGCACTTCGGCACGAAGGCACTTACCATTTGCTGGGCATGGTGTGATGTTGCAGGAGCGGTAGATGGCCCTCTTGCCGGTGCAGTACCGGCCGTTGTTTCTAGGAGCTGGGTTATTGCAGTGCCGATAAGCAAACTGAACTCCTCCGCCACAGGTACGGGAACACTGCCCCCAAGGTCCCCAGGACCCCCAGTTACCATGGCTTGAAGCCTGAAATAGATGGAACAGTGGGAGGTAAGGACATCATCCAAGTGTGAATAAAGGTGCTACATCTCAAAGACACTGCTAATGTTTTCCTCAACTGAAGGCAATTCCTTGATCATTTTAATCAGGGATAATGGGTCTTAGGAGCCTCTTTCTCCCAGCAGAGATAACTTCTGTCTTTTATCTGCACGTTGATGACATCTCATTTGGCACTGTGCACGCAAAGGCAATTCTAGGCCTTGCTCTGCACAGCCGCCCTCAGCTTGTTTCATGGAAGACACCCGTGCACCAGAAACGGTGCCCATAGTCTCATGTGCTGCTCTCTTATTTTTTGCTATTCCTACCAATAGGGCCCCTTAAACTAGCTCCAGGGGGTTCGGCTCCCAGGATATGTTCATAAGGATAATCTATGATTAATTAAATGCAATTATTGTGATGTGTAGGTATTGCTCTGAATTACTGGCAAGAGATGGAGTTGTCAGATATAGTTTGCAACTCTGCTAAATTAGCAACCTAGGAGGAGTATTGCAACAGCATGCAGAAGTACATCATTTCATAAAAAAGGGTGTTATAAGGGCTGTAGCTTGATTTGAATGACTCTCATAGTTTGTGAATAGCTTCACAAAGCTCTACAAGCCCCTACCTCTTTTGTGGGTATAACAGAAGGGGCAGTGCTACTGTCTACCCAGTAAATTTAGAAGTATCTGTACTGTGCAGTTGACAGTTCTCATGAGCCTGGGGACTCTTCAGATGTATAAAGTTGACAGAGGGGACTCTGTCACTGGAGGTACAAACTTTTCTGCTCCAGAAATTATATTCTGGATGAACTTCATCCACCTTTCTCTTCACTAGGGTTAGGGCCCTGGGGCCTTTCAGATGAGGGCTGTAAATTAAATTTACAGATTTAATTTACCTCACCGCCCATTGCCAAGAAGTCAGGAAACTAAGAATAGGTCCTTGACAATCTTTCCATATGTCCTGAGACCTGACTTACTGAATGGGCAAATCCTCTACTCTGAAGAGATGCTCCCAGTTTTCCAGGAATGAAGGCTTTCATACTTCAAGAAGAAAACATGCTTCCTGAAACTCAGCAGTGTTTTTCCTATATCCCTCAACAATAAAACTCCAATTACATACTAAAAAATAAGGCAGCTTTCAATCTGACTTCCATAAAGTCCCTTTCACTCCCACAAAAATCAGCGCCTTTGAGGCCTTTAGGCCTTCTAAAATTCCCTAGGGTCACAGCTGGTAACTTACTGAGTAGTATTTCTTCTTGGTTTTGTCAACACATTTCCCCTGGAGGCAGATCCTCCCTTTTCCACATGGTGTTCCCTCCACAGCAGGCAGCTTCTTAGTCAGACAAACCATCTGACCTTGGCGCACAACTGCACACCAGAGGCGAGAGCACACATCCATACCAGGACACACTGTGTATTCGGGTCCAAACGCCAGTTTGCACTGACGAATGGCATCGTAGGTTTGTCCTGGAAGCTCCTCGGGGCCCAGGATCTGCTTCCTCGGTTGGTCCAGCAAACAGTTACCTAAAAGAGCAAACCAACCTATTATTACTCATTTCCTAGTTTTCTCTGCAGTTCTGTAAATCTGTCATTCAAGTTAGGCAGACCGATAATGACAGCGAGCCTCATTCAAAGGATGCTGACGTGAATGGAAAGGCTCTCTGAGGTGTCATCAGGTTTTGGACAAGGCAATACTATTGTACACTTGCTGTGTTCTCACCCAGCAGCACACCAGGTGTCGAGTTGCCTATTTCCAACATGAGGGTGTAAATGAGTTTTACTCAGGTCCCTTTGGCCTTCCATCCTGGTTTCCTTTATTTGAATTTACTCTGAACACATTCAACTCTATTTATCTGTTTGCAATTTAAGGAATGCTCAAGACTCATGGCAAAGTAAGCAAAGTTGTCATTTGAATTTTGAGACAGAATGTCAGAAATGGTAAAGCTTCTAAAGGGATGCCCGAAAAATCACAAAAAACAGACTTGTAGCCAGTGAGGCACTTAAAAGAAAAAAAAGAAAAAAACCTCAACAGATCAAAGGAAAAATATAAGCTGCATATCAAAACTAATGTTGGCGGTAAATCTGGACTAGGCTTTCCTTGTAAGGAATGATACTTGGCTGCTTCTGGAATTAGTTTGAAAAGGGCTATCCATTTTATACAAAAATACATAAATAACAGAAAGAAAAGAAAGAAATAGCATAAACATAAAGAATTGAATATGTGTTTTGAGATATATTGCAGAGGTCAAGATTTGTCTGGCACACTCTAAAAATGAGAATTCACATTTAGGTTCTAGAGGATCTACTGATAGATTTTTTTTTACTATTGAAAAACTTCCTTGTTGACATGCAGAATTATTTATTCAGAGTAACCTCTTCTACACTTCATGAAAGGGATATGTGGTCTGGGCAAGCTTCATTTATCCTTGGCCAAAATAACTTACCACAATTTACCTCACTTTGGAACCTACACCAGTGTTCTTCAGTTGGCTCATGGGTGAAAAAAGGCTATCTATAAAATCCTCACTACTTACACAAAAATGGAATAGAATTTCAAGCTATGGCAGTGAATTTAAACAAGCCAAATGCCCCATCTCTCAATGGCTTGTATTTTCCCTCCAGAACACACACTTACTGCAGCTGTTCTTTTTTTCCTCTAAAGTCTAAGGCCAATTAGCCAAATCAGCCAAAAATTCTTTCTGCATCATCACTTACTACCAAAAAACTCTCTGTCTTGTTAAACTTGTTCCATTTGTCCTTTGCTGACCCTGATTTACCCTAGCCTTATCTTCAATCTGGATTATGCTGACTTTTTAAATGAAGACAAGGTGTGCCAATGCTAACTGATGAGTTGAGTGCCACGCGATAAAGATAATTAAAAGTACCCTAGCATTCAAAGCCTGTTGTAGTGTAAAATACAAAGTCATGGTCAAGAGTGAGGAAGCACAGATCTTTTTTTCTGGGGTTTCTGAGAAGGACATCATTGGCAAAAGTTGCTGTCAAAAATACACTCTGTAAAAGCAAAGAACAGCAGAAGTCCTACTTCATATACCTTGTGATTGGGGAGGAAGCTAGTACATACAGTGTTAGGGCGGTGATGGGAAGGCACTAGAATGTCAATGTTTAGTGGTATACACTACTATTATATACATACTGCAGCGTTTATCAAACTCCCAAAGTGCAACCATTATTCAGTATTTTAAAACATCGTAATAACACATAGTTTCGCCAGGACAGACACTGCTGCCCATCACTGAGATCTACCATGACTGACATGACTGGAAATATAAATTTAGAGAAAAAAGAAAAAAAAAGTCACATCCTTACATATATTTCATTTGTCAATCATTTTAGTTAACACCCATTTGAATATCTTTCACATGTGAATAACAGGTTTCACAAGCTTACATAGCAAATATAGCATTTTTTCCCCTTCAGAATACAGGGGAATGAGATCCAAAGTTCTCCTTAACTGATACTGCTCTGAGGAAACACTTATAATGTCTATAAAGCTAGGTGTTCCAGCTGATCTCACATGATAAATTCAAAACTGAAGATAGGAAAGGCCCCTAAGGCTTCCCCGGGGGGAGGGGGGGGAATCTTTACGTTTATGGATAGCAGCAGTGGTAATCTATGTTTAGACAAGTTGCAGTGAAGTGCAGGTGTTTTCACCACCAGCTGGTCCAATCTCCTACTCGTAATGGTCAGAAAAGACAGAGTTAAGAAGTTGGAGAACGGTTTGCCCTGGCCCCCCTGGTTGAGAGGGGCAGAGAGAGCTTCAATTCACTACATTACATTGTAACATACAGAGCATGTATATACTGCTATTCCCATTTTTTCTCCCGAGTACCAAAGAACATCTGTGTGCCCTGGAATAGAGCAACATTGTTGTCTGACAACAGTGTTAATTAAGCCATCTCATTATCTCTCCTCAATGTTATGTGCAATATATCTTGGGAAAAAAAGGCAGAATAAGATCTGTGCAGGAAGCAGATAACCAGGATGTAAATTAATTAAAATAGAAATAGTCCTTGTTTCAGTTGCACAGAGCACCCAGCACTCTGACAAACACAATAAATCGCAGGCAATCATAGCACAGCCTAGTGGTTGGCATGACAATAAAGGCAATTAGTACCTTAGGAGAGGGTTGGCTAAAAGCAGATGGAAATAAACGTCACTGTCTTCTAGACACTAACTGAGCCTTTTCTTCCTGAATGTCAAACTGCTGTCTGGGGTCATCTCATGAGTGTAAAACAAACGCTGACATCATGACAATGATGTTTATAGTTCTCAGAGTGGGCCTCAGGAGACAGGGAATCAGCACCTTGATCCTCCCCAGACCTCCTGGTTGACCTTGGACAAGACATTTATATTTGGATTTATTTAGCTGACTTTAACTGTATGTAATGCTGGTGTCTGCAATTCAGTCAGCTGTCAGATGTTTCACTACTCACGCAAATGAGTTTATGGTGTAATTCAGCACCACTAATGCAATTCATGAGATCAGTCAAATCATTGATGCCATTGATTAGACCCCTCTGCACTACAATGGAAACTTAAAATACCCAGTTTAGGAGTAGCTACCTACATAGTAAATACCCACATTTTATAAGATGAGTCCGCTCCCCAACATCGCTTTCCAAATTTAGAAAATAGGAACACCAATACTTGATAAAGTGATGTTAAGGAATTAGAGAGTCAAGACTGTGATGTTTGCTGTTACAGCAGTATGGGGTGAACATCTAAATTTATATGGGAAACTTACTTGAAAGCTTTGGTAAGACATTTACTGTTCTTTTGTAGTAGAATACTGCTCACAGATCCAAACTTCTGGACTTCATTCACATTTCATTATGCTTAGCCATAAGGAGCAGCAGATGAAGCACTTTATTTCCCCACACCAATGCTGCCATGCCCTGTTTGTCACAAAGCACAATTCATAAGCTCATGCCCGCTCAGACCAAAAGCCTGGTGCAAACTGCTTATGCTGCCTATTAGAGAATGGAAGAGTCTCCTCTTGTTCAGTGTTTCACACATAAGCTTCCTGTGACTATGCAAAATCTGGTCACAAACATCCTAGAAGACAGCCTGGCATATGAATATTTGTATTCTTTCATTGCAACTGCTATTTTGTGCCTTTCTCGTCTACATTATGCCTGCAGCACTGCTCAAAATTACACCTGAATGGCTAAGTTTTTTTTTTCTCTGCCTAGCAGCTCTTGAGAGAGATAGGATTTTCTTCTTTCTATGGGAAGATTGCAGGGGAGCACCTTCTTGAAAACAAAAAGGGAGGGAAAACACTGCAACTACACGACAGTACGTCTGCCCCAGCTAAGGAAAAAAATGAGCAACCCAAAAAGCAGACACATGCTTATTCTGAACGAAACACGGAAATATGGCACGTTTGCACTGTTTTATTATCAGCCCAAAGCAGTCTGAAAGGCAGCGTCATGCTCTACTAGGATCCTGTGGTTTCTGGTACACTCAGCATACATTACAAATGTATTCATTCACTGGCTGGAAGAAGAAAACAAAACCAGAAGTTCCCTTCCTCAAATAACGCATGTCCTTTCAGCACAATAATTTGAAGAAACTGCAACTGAAATCATTGACTTCATTTTTACTTCATAGATAGTATTTGTGTTGAGGCAAATCTTTGATTTAAGATAAGTAACTGAAAAATTATAAACTTCAACAGAAAACGGAGACTGTTACTTAGAAAAGGTCTCTGAAGGCCTGATCTATCAAGAACAGAGATTCCCTAAACATTGTATATTTGAAATCACACCAATAGCATCAGTAATAAAATTAATTTCCAGAGGACTATGGAAATCTACGGCGAGAGTTTCAAATTTTCTGTGAATTATTTCATCACATCGATAACTCTTTGGGACTACATGCCTGAGTGATAACTACTCATGAGTATTAGAAAGGGCAATGTACCCTAACCTATCTGTTAACACACTGACAGATCCTAAGCCCTTTACATGCAGCAAAGAATACATGAATTCGTGAAAAGTGTCAGCAGTTGAGGACTGCTAAGCTTTGTGTACAGGAAAACAGCACTCAGGCTGAACAAGGAGACCATAATGTAGCTCTGAAGGACCTGAAGCTCCTACCTACTTTTACTGAAAAAAACTGGCAGACTTATATTCTTAGACCTGTAGGACTGATTGTTACAGCCCCTTCTTACTTCCACATTAAGACTGGACCTCAGGGATAAGGGTCCAAATTTCAAGCATCCCCCAAGGTACAAACAAGCCAAAGGTGAGGTGGGTGGGAGAAATGCTCTCCGGTGGGAGAAATCCTCTCTTTGCTTTCTTTATTGTTGGAGAAAGCAGCTAGCTGGATGCATAGTAAAGGAAAGAAGTCAGGTCACAAAAAAAGGGAAAAAATGAGAACAACCTTTCTACTCGCCTGCCGCAGGAGAGGAACAGAAGAAGAAATGTAGTTCAGAGTTCCTTGCGCTCTCTAAGAGGTCACTCATGGATGGCAAGGGAGGTCCCTTTTTTTTTTTACCCCAGTGAACGGTACTGTACCTCAGTAACTAAACTCAAAAAGGAAAGTTCTCTTCATATGTGGAAACTAACTTGGTAATACTAAGTCAATGCCAGAGCAATATGGACCATAAAACAGGACAGTACAGATTAATGGATCTAATAAGATTGAGTGAAAAAATGAAGTCATTCTCCAATAGAGGAAAACAGGAGAAAATATTTCAGAGAGCACGGAAATTAGCCGACAAAATATTTAAAAGCAAAAAACCCTTTACATTCAGCAGACATACCATACTTTTTATCCATAAGCATTTCGGTTGCCATAACAACTTGATCCATTCACTCAATTATGTCATTTTTATCTCAGCATTTTGGAATTTGAATGGTTTGTTTAAGAACTGCAGTTGCTTTGGGAGCACAATGAAGACTTTAAAATGCATTAAAGAGTGAAGACTATGCTTTTTTATTACTACTTTTGGAAAATGAAACTTTTGCACTTATTCTCCAAAGGGTAAATGACATATTTAGCAAATACTAGTTACATGACTTGGAAGGTAAGCTCCTGGGGCAGAAGTAATGTTTCATCATATACAGCACAGAGGAGTCTTAATTCTTGCTTCCAGCCCCTCTGCATAAACATATTAAATACAATGGCATTATAAACGTAATAAATATAATGGCATTATAAACATAATGAATGTCATTAATGGTAATGAGAACACATACACTCTGCTCATATCTGTAGTCTAACGCTAAGTACACCATATCATCCATTTTAATTTCTGTGAGGAAAAAGCCTCTTCCTTGTGTCCTCTGTTTAAAGTACTCTCTGAGCTCGTAGCTGTGGCATTTGGGAAGACAAGACTAATTTCATGCTTTTAAAAAAACCTCTCCACGTTCCAGACCAAATTATTGCCAACACACACTCCATCAACTCTTTCTTCTCTCTTGCATTTGAACCATGCAAAGGGAGGGTGAGACTCTGCCAGGCTTTTAGACCTTTGCCTTGTTTTGCAAGACTTCCAAGATAGTCCTGAAGATGAGCAAGGAATGAACAAGCTGGTATAAAATGTTCTTATCGAAAAAACAGATCACAGTAAAAACTAACATGTAGCTGACACAAGGTGTGATAATACATACCATGACCATCATCGAAAAACTCTGTTATAGTTGCTGAAGTGCATTTGGACCAGGGTTTCGAAGCATCGATGCTAGTCAGAATGGAGGACATCAGGCGCTTATCTTCCATGGAGCCAAAGTTCTCCTCACAAAATTTGGAGTCATCATGGGAAAGCCCAAGCAAGTGCCCTATAGAAATGAAACAAACAATTAAAATGATATGACTATCCATAACAGAGTTTACCAGCTGGAGCTCACAGTCAAGGTAAAATGAATTCTATAATTCATTCTCCAAGTTTGAACAGCAGCCCAAAGCAGGCCACTTGAAATGTGCTATCTCTGCCTGAAGACAAACAAGCTGTGAGAGTTTACACCATTAGATATAGCAAGGAAGTAATGCCATCAGCTGACAGGTCATCGAACTGTGCTAACTGAAACCTGATGAAGTCTGAAGTGAACTGTACTCATTTATATTAGTCAACAATTTAGTTCCTACTGTTTTTCCAAATCCTCTTCAGCAAGAAAGACTAATACTTCACTCTGTTCTGCAACTGTCTAGAATGGTGCTACAATAACTTTCTAAATGCACAAAAATGCTAGTACTTATGGAGCAATTAAACAAACCGTAGGTAAATTCTTAAAGTGCACTCCTCGCTGAAGTGCGAATACCCTCTACAATGCATCAAACAATCTGAATGACGTTTTCAAATAGTCTCTTCCATGTAGAGAGTCTTGTTTTGTGGGAGGGTGCTTTTTAGTCTTGTTTTAGTTAGGGTTTTACTTTTGCTGGTTTTTATTTTTAAATGTATATGGTATTGCACATTTATACTCCAGAACACAAAATAATGTGCACACAAAGCAGCACATGATGGAACTCGCAAAAATCCTTAACGTCCAGGGGAGTTCAGTCCAGTGCTAGGTGAGTTCTTACAAGCGCGACAGCAACCTTTTCTGTAGATCAGTGATCCCCATTTTCCCTAGTCTCTGGGCAACAGTAATAGATTGCAGGCAACACACTTCGTTCCCTCTGTAAACATCAGGTTTAACTTTAATTTCCATGCCCACACTGGATTATTTCACAGCCAACATACTATCCAAGAGTTAGAAGACTGAATGGGAACCAAAGCTGCAAGGAGCTCAAGCATGAACTTAACATTCACAGTCTTCAACCTAGGCCAGGAGATGATTAATCAGACATCCAGGGCTAGACCAAGAGTGCTTTAATGATATGGACAAAGACCACCCATCAAAGCCACTGCAGAGAAATAAACCTGATGCCCTCAAATAGCAGCTGAAGAGGCAGATTATATTATTCTGCAATAACTAAAAGCCTTCTACATACCATCGGCTTCACGTTTTGGTATAACTGCTGTAGACTAGCTGTAAGGTGACACAAGTAGGAACACTGATGGCAGAGTATCACATTCTGATATCCATAGCAATGGGCATGACAATAGTAATAACAATAATAATACCTACAACAGAGGCTGGAAAAGAAGAAAATCAGCAAATTTTACCTATTTGCCTTATATAAACTTGCTGTTGTGTTGTTTTCATCTGCTTTGGGGGCAAAGCCAAGAGCAAAGACATGGAGGCAGCACTCACTGCCGATCTGTATCTGAGATTAGGAAAGTAGCTACCTGACCAGAAGTCTGTGTTAAGGCTGCAGGAGATCAGAAATCAGGGTTTCTGTCCTGTGAGAGAAGCCAAGGTATCATCTGGCAGCCTTACTTGCATGCTGGGTTCCTGACCTAAGGATGGAGCTTCAGGAAAAGTGACAAGAGGACCTTGATCTATGACTTCTAGTTGTACCAGTGATGACTGAGAACAGCCCGTCTGTCTTCTGCAGCTACTGAACTCCCACTGGAGGGGAGGTGGGAAAGAGAATGAAGAGGGCATTTCTCTTTTTTTCTCTCTTCCCCTGATGTGCACACATTTACCAACATCATTCAGATATAGCTACTGTTTGAATAAAAGGCCCTGTAGTATTACAAATGCTAGTAGGAATTTATTCAAGGAACCTGGGCTAACACTGATGAGAGTTAATACTCCTTTCCCTGTTACTACTGTTGCTAATTGCTATTGCCATGCTGTATCACAAGTACGCTGCTGCAAAAACATAATGAATCAAACTTTCATACTGAAGGCATGTCTAATTACTGGTGTGTTTTATGTGCAAGATTTGGGCTTATTCTTTTCTGATAGGTAAAACCACTTTCCTTTGGCAATACTTATTATATATGGGCCAGATAATGCTATTTTTATTTTGCGCTGGGACACAATCAGTAGGTATGTGTCAAGTTTCAATCTGATACAGCACAATATAAGCACTTGTTCTGAAGATATGACATCATCTTTGTTTTATTTCAGCCAAATGCTGGTGTTGAGCAAAACAATTCACTGGTAAGATTATGATTTCAAGCAGACACATTTCTCTCACAGAGTAGCCAAATAGTCAGTACATCCCTTCTAACCTATAGAGCAAATTCTGTGGAGGTGTCACAGGCTGAGTTTAATGACTCAGTAGCTACTGTGCCAATGAGGACTACCTCTGACTGTGCCAAAGTCTAGACACTGACAACCAGTGTCTTCAGGAAATGCAAGGATGGTGTTATTTTTGGCTGCCGTTCTATACAATGTTATCGCTATGCTTGTGTTCGTGCTAATGCACTGAATGGCACCAGGTCACACCTCCTGCCTGAGAACTAGGAGCAGAGCTGACAGGTTAATGAACCTCAACACATGCCTAGTAGTAATGTAACTAGAACCATTTTCTGATGACATTAAATAACTCCTTGTAGCACGTTTCACCAGTGTTCTGCTAACTTAAGCAAACATTTACTAGAGAGGGCTTTAGCCCCATCCCCTAGCTTTTGTTGACGTACCCTCAATATGCGGCGCAGTTCCCCATTTAAATCTGGACTGCACACACGCTGCTTTGCAGAGCTGTTCAGGAGTTTCAGCCAGTTTCTTGTACTTTACTTGAATCTGTGCACTTGAATATGCATATATTACCAATCAATTATACAGAAATATTTGTAAAAAATTAGCCCAGCAAGCACGAAAACACCGTGCTGGTTGACCTAAGTCTCACTATAGCAACCTTCTCTGAGACAACTTGTATGCTTAAAGATTGCAGGAACAATGCTTTTGTATTTAATGTCCCAAGACTGCTCACAGTTGTTAACACTGCAAGAAATGACTTCACTGCAGCATGCTTGTGAAATAAGGTAATGAGGTTCTGTCAGTGGAAAAGGAGTTTTCGTTTCTAAGGTACTACATAGCTCTGGGTGAATAACAAAAGCTGAAGGATTGTTCAAAAAGTTCGGCTAAATAATATCAGATGGCACACAATGCATGTTCAGTGTAGGATATGAATAATACTTGGGTGCAAACTAGCAGTTTGAGAACTTAATTTTTTGGAGTGCTCAACATTTTATAGCACCATTCAGAACTACCAAAAACTCTGTGATGTGAAGGGTTCAGTCTTAATTCAAGTTTCTTAACCTTAACACCCTCTGATACCGCTCTGCAACTCTCCACCTGCTTAAGATACAACTTTATTCTCTATACGAATCCCTTTCTTGCATAACCATACTTCACCTTTTGTAACTTTGTTCATCTTACGTGATAGACATCCCACATGAGCACATAATAAATGACAATACAGTGCAGATACGCACAGGCCCTGTTAACGCTGATGCTTCTGAGTGTGCAACTTGGACATCTCTGAGTTTCTCTGCTACCTCTGACATTCTTTTAACACGTTTTTTTTGTGTGTAAGTTCCTCCTTGCACCAACTTCATCAGTCCTGGCTTCGGAAAGACCTCTTTGTCTTTCCTACGTGCGTTTTTCAGCCCGGCTCCTCCTGCAGTGCGATTTGTAAGCACAGCCTCAGCTTAGACTACTTACTGTCAGAGCAATGCAGTCACACCACATTAAACTATGGAAATCCTACAGCTGAGCAATGCGAATGCTCCTGGAGCGGGGCGGGGAGTGTATTGTGCTTTAGCTTGCTCCTGGCTTCCCTGCCTAAAGATGGTATAGTTTCCTTCCCTCTCCACTCTGAGAGACGCACTGACTCTGCGGAGAATGTAACTGCTGAGCTGTGGATTGAAGTTGTTCTTCTTCCTTTCTTTTTTCCTCCTCCATATACACAAAAAAAGAATATCCTTCAGATATGAGAAAGCTCGCAGCCAAATCTCAAGCTCTTAACTTTGAACAGAGAGACTGCAAATTTTTCCATAAAATGACTGCAAATTAGTCTCCCTCTCAGAAATGGCTGGACAGTCTCTGTGGAGAAGTTCAGAATAAATAAATAAAATGAAATGCTTCTCAGGCGACCATTCAGCACAGAACATTTCATCCCAAGTACTTTGGCAAAAGCACAGGAAACTGAAACAGGGTCATCTTCTGGAAAGTGTCAAGCTACTGGCTTCACCTTTAATTAAGAGTGCAGCATAACTTCTATACTTTACAATGATAAATGGGGTAAACAGAGGACATACCTCATTAACAGTGTCTACTTTGTCATATTAAATCAGGCCATTGTTCTAATGCATGACGAGGACTGAGTCACTTACGGGGCAAACTTCAGCTTTTCGAGGAGAAGCTTCCCAAAGTATTTGTGAATCTCTTGTTACTTTTAAATTTTTCAAAAATAATTTTAAAAAATCATGACAAGGAAAGAAGTAGTAAGTAGCGACTAATTTCCAAAATATGTAATTCTGATTGTCAGTATTTGAGCTTCTAAATTAACCACCAGTGACATTAGTGAGGGTAATATCTGTTCATGGCATTAAATATATGGATTCTATCTGTCCATACTGATATGCCAGTTAACTTCATATGTATGCTTACAAACACTCTGAATGCAACTTTCAAAGAATTTTATGGGACCGAAATTCCTAATACTTATCACAACCTAAATCTCTCTCCGTCCTAGTTTTGGCTTTTAAGGCATTCTGATCAGGCTTAGAACAGATCAAAATATATGACAAACTTCTAATGACTCTTAAAACTGTTTTTGCCTTTCATTAAAAATAATCAAAACTCAAAATATCACAGTGATCTGTAATCTCTAAATACTGTCTAGCTAATGTGTGCTCTTTTTAGCACAGAGGTGGGAACAACAAAGTACTTCTACACCTGCACCCTTCATCGTTTTGCATCCAAGAACTAAAGAAGGG